ATTTTTTAATTAATATTCTTATATGTATTTTAGGCTCGTTCTTATTTACGGATGGTTTTGAATAATTCAATCTTTTCCATTTCTACTGTTGGTCTGCTGTATTAAAAATTGGTACTAACCTCGGAACCGACGACACGGAGTCGCCCCGTGGCCTTTGCCGCTCGAAAAGTCGCATCCAGGGAGTGCTGTGTCGCATTCCACAGAGCCGATTTCTCGAACCGCGACTTAGGAGGTTGTACTTAGGTTTTAAAACTACCGAGAAGGGTTTAATAATAGCCGTGAGGACACGGGGAAATCGAAAGGAAGAACGGAGGCGGCTGAAGATCGAGGTCGTACCTCGACAATCGGAATTTCGCAACTGCCCCCTCGCATTCTGTTTACCCTGCGTGAAGGGGACATACTTCCGGTACACATCGTCCGCAAAACAGTGCGTGGGAATGCGGCTAAGAATTTTTCGGATTCCGTTGTGCAACCGAACAAAATTATTAATAGTTTCTAGACTTTTTATCGAGAAATTGTTTATTCATATTTTTATGGAGATCCAAATGTTTAGGATAGTCAGTTAGAAAAATCCATTCGAAATAGAGACGATCACTTAACGACTGTAGAATTTATATTCTTATAAATGAACGACATTTGTAATCGATTTATTATTGTCCGAATAATCCCGGATGAACTTTCGATGCTCTGATCGCATCCTGTGATTTTCCTTTTCTCAACGATGATACTGTCCGTGTATGATTTAATAGAAAGCGGCTTTTACCGCTCGCGTAACGTAACCCATCGACGATTTGTCATTGGACGGAGGCTAATCAAAAGGGTAGTGAACGATTTTTATTGCTTCAGTTTGTACAAAAATAGAAGATAGACTTTCCATCATAATTATAATGATTAAATATGAAAATACTTGATTATATCTTTTTCTATTAATTACATTCTGCTTTAAGAATGTCTACAACCAGTGAAGAGAGCAAATGTAGTGGACGATTTTTATCGCGAATACATGTTCGCATAGAAATAGAAGGTAGGCATTGCCCGTCACGGATAGGGGTCACTCGGCTGTTCAGTGATGACCATCCGCGTCTCTATTACGCGACGAGGAATCTTCTCAGCCTTGGAGGGCGAAAGTTGCCTTCGGCTCCTCGTCGTTCTTCGTGGATGCCACGATATTTGCACCTACGGGCATAGGAACGCGAGTGGGGGGCACCCGATCGACTCCGCGGTCTGTTGGTACATAATTTCGCTTGAACATTGCCTTTTCTTTATTCAATGTCCCCCACGACTATTTATAGAAATTGTGAAAATTCTCTCGATTTATCATTCCACGTTGTTGTCTTCGGGTATAATAAAAATATAGAAATCATGCGTTTTAATATCGCAATTATTTAATAGTTATATTATTTACGACACGTGAGAGGATTCGTTTATTTGATCGAGGCTTCGCTAAATGAAAACCTCCTTCCGACTGGTTTTCCTGTACCGCAAACGCCCACGAACGACGTCTGTCGTGACATTCTTCGGTAAGCATTGAACCTACGGAGAAAGCGGGGTCACAGGATCATTTTTCCGCGATGGGATCTCCCGGGGATGCGATACAACGTCTGATCAATTATTAAATACAGTGTTTCCTTCCTGACTACGTGACTGCTTCCTACAGCTCACTCGTTGGTACACTGAATTTTATTTATTTATTATATAATTTTTATTTATATATATTATTTAATTATGAAGAAAATATCACATCGATCGTTCATTTTAATTATGGTTGTTTGCTAGGAGGCGCCTATTTAAAAATCTGGAAGTCAGACGTTTCATAACA